TTTACATCAGAATTGCTTTCAGCACCTCCTCACCTTTATGTGTACCATCTTCATTACCACCAGCATCACTTTCGTCAAAAAAGAGGAGTAGTAAGCAACAGCAGTATATCAACAACTGACTCTATGGTAAATGTGGCAGGGGATCTCTCTTTACGTTTCAATCTCAAGCAACAACTCACCCAACTGAAAACCCACCGCTCCAAAGGCCAGATATAATGGAACTCAGTCCAAGGTTGTTTGGGATACCATACCACCTGTAGACAGTACACAACATTCCAACTGTAATCTTTCATACTAAACACGAGAGAGGACCCGCTCCCCCTTCCTTGTCCCTGTTATTTGGACTTACATGTTTGTTTGCCATGCCCCACTGTACACCATATCTTACGAGGACATCACTCTGGTTCTCGTACTAGAGGTACTCGTTTTCCTGTACTGCGTAATTAACAATAAGTGCACTGATTTGCTCATGTTGTAAGAGATTTGAGGTAATGTTGTTTTTGCTTTACCTCATTTTGTAAGTTGAAACTGTCTTATTTTTCGTCCTTTCTGATCCAATTTGCGTAGTTCATCCAGGGATAGATCAAACCGTTTGGTAGCACCAAACACGCTCTCGTGTCGAATTTGTCTGAGGACGTATGCAAAGTATGCTGTAAACGCATCATTAGACGAAAAGGCATTTGTCGTGCGTAAGTTTTAACGCACGTGTGAAAGCGTGGAGCCACCTCGAGCAGAAGCACCCCCTCATCGGCTGAAAAGAGCAATATTGGTCGGGAGTGTTTTGTCACTAGTGATGCTATACTAGGCACGAGATCGGACGAGAGGGGTACCTTCCAACAAGTCCGATCCCTATACACACTCCAGCCTATTGTCACTTAACACATCCCCCTAGATGTCTGAAAAGAATTCCTGAGATACCAGTATAACAATGACCAACACAAAGGCGGCGGGTTCTCCCTGTCCCATAGTTTGCTTCATATAAGCAATGCGGCCCTAAGATGTGCATTTCAGAGTCGTTCGTGAACCAGAAAAGTTCAGTGTCGACCAAAGAAGCTTCCATTGCTAAGCAATTTGCGCCCTTTCCCCCTCTAGTTCGAGGCCCATAGCACCTTTCATCTCCCAGCGGCCGCTGTATTTGACCCCTTTGTCTTTTGCAGCCATTAACGAATAATGGAAAGGGACTCTTTGTACTCACTCCGCAGAGTCAAACATATCAACAAATGTCGGCATGCTTATCAAAGCAATCACAGCAGCCCCGAAGAGAAGGCTTAGGATAGCTACTAACTTGGTCCTGTAGAGGGAAGAAACGACAATGTTGTGGCGCAGGCAGAAACTCTATCAAAACTAAGGGAAAGGAGTTACCACTTAGAGTTTTGGTGTAATAAACCTTGTTCACATGGGAGACATTTTTATCTTAATCCTACAANTGTGGGGATACGGATTATCTTTTGGTTGGCTTTGTCTCCGAGATACAGATTTATATTTAACTTGAACTCATTTGCATGAAGCCTGACCCCATATTCACATAATTTAGTTTAATGTGCACACACGGTAGGGCGCACAATGTTTCGCGCGCTTGGTACTTCGCCATTTTCCCAGCACCACTTGATGTCGATTTTACTGTGTTTGTGGCCAGTTTGTCGGCACACAACTGTCTGAAATGTAAGGCGTCCTTATTGGGGCTTGTCTCCAGAACCTGTGGTGAGTGATTTTCATTTTATTTTGTGTGTAACTCTTCGGGAGAGTTGTACATGTATATCTTTACCGAAACTTTGGGAAATCTGATGGTGTGGCGTTGTCATAGACACCGCTGTGCGCACATACCTTGCTGTATTGCACATCTATACGGACAGCATATGTGCGCACGATACCTGTACAGGGTACGACGGTCATCTTTGCTGTGTGAGCACACTTTTTTCAGTAATTATGGGGTTTCCATATTTTTCTCTATTTATAACAGGTAGAATGTACATGTACATGCATTAGGAGTCATCCGGTCCCTGCACCTGGGGGTATTTTTGGTTTGGATTTTTCGTTGGGATCTCGTCATAATTCTACTTCATGACTGTAATTTCTATGATTCCACCTTGATTTCGCGTTGATTGCTGAATAAAATTGTCTGTGATGCAACAAATCAGGATTTCTTCGACTGACTGAATCATTGCCTGGTCAACTCGTACATTTATCCCAATCAACTTTGGGGTCATTCCTACTGGCTGTGACACCGCAGCCCCATTTCACTACATTAGGTGTATGACACTTGTAGAGTTAAGGTCGATTGGGAAATAACTTTGTGACATGTATATACATGTCTACGCAGGTAGGCCATATATAGCATTTGGAATTGTTTCAACATGAAATTTTGTACTTTATAATTGGTATTCTATTATTGCTCTTAAACACCTCAATCCAGTGCAATCTGCTGATTTCGAGATTTCTAAGACACCTTTTCCCAGTTTGTAAAGATAGACGTTTTTACAACCCACCATGATTTGTCTTCCAGACACACCTACATACACCCTTAAACCATTTTTAATATGATGCTCATCTTCGCCATTTTAAATGGAAAAATCACATCTGAATTCTTTGGACGTCAGACCCTAAAGGTCACGCTGTGTTTCACCAATGATAGGTTATGCCTCGCGGCAATAACTTACCGTAGCGTCAGCAACGGCTCCCCAAATTACGGAGACCACCGCGTACACAAGACCCCAACCCAGAAAGATCAAGCTGATTTGAATCACCGTGAAATCAAGCTATGAAAGGGGAGGGGGTGTAGAAAGGATGCAAGGTGTCTGGTCAGCATGATGCCATCGGAAGTTTGGTTATTTCTCAAAAATATATTGAAAGTTTCATCCAGAAATGAGTGTAATTGCATAATTACATGCAAAATGATTAAGAGATTGAATTTAAAAATTCTGTTTGATAGATTCAGGCAAAGCCAACCCTACAGCGCTTACGTCTTAAATGTGCACGGTTGAGTAAGTTTGAATTATATTCAAAGATTCGCTCTACTGTTACCATGGAAACATACCCCTTTTAGATGAATCGACAGGGTAGGATTAAAGAATGAAAATGCAGCTGCGGCCATAACAGTGGTTGTCAAGGCAACCCATATGGCAGGTATGCTCACAACCCCGATCAAGGAACCAGGTTCTTCGTTCTTCGTTCCTGTTCAGGTGGTTAAAATCAAAACATCATTCTGTAACATAAGATCACGAAAACAATAGTCCCGGATTTTGGTTTCTATCATTCCTCCGTGTCAAATGAACAAAACACTGAAATCCAAACGCGAAGACTGAATTTATTTTCTTCTCGGCAACTTTCTGCAGAGTACAGCGGATATTACTCAGAAAGAGTGTTGATGTTCTTTCCTGACTGTTCCGTTAGAAAACCAAATGATTTTTTATCAAGCCTGTTCAACCATTTGCCCTATCGCTCCATAGGTTACAGACGTGACCGTGCGTCACCGCTTGCAAAAAGGTTTTAGTCATGGTTACAGAAAGATCACCATTATCAAAATAATTTGAAGAGAAATCAATTCCACCTTGATCAATGTGTCTTACCCTGCTCTGGCAGCAAGAAAAAATTGATAAAATCGACAACCAGAACAACTCCTCCGAGAAAAAAGAACGGCAGCTCGAAGCCTCCAGCCTGTCAGAAACAAACATCATAGATAAAGAAGGGGAAACCGTACGAAAAAAGTCCTTGACCTTCTTTCTCTGAAACCATTCAGATGAACGAGAAATTTTTATAAATAACTTGATAAGTGTTAAGGTTTTTTCCCCTTTCCGATGGTGAACTTACGTCATAGAATAGGCCACCAATAGCTGGTCCTATTGCAAATGACAGACCTCCCATCATCTCGATCAAGCTCTGTGAAAATTCGAAGTACGTGTATGTATATTGATAATCTGGTCCTGATCCAACATTGACGTAACACTGACCTGACACCAATCTTACACAATCTAATTATACAGTGATCTCACACCTGAGTAGCAATGATCTGACGCCAAAATTACGTCACACAGCTTATAACTGCTTTTCAACACCGATCTAATACTACGAGGCAGATGTAAAATGATCACACAACAGCCTTCTTACAACTA